TATTTAGACTAATGCTTGCTACAGGTATTCCTGAATTACAAAGTGCTAAAGATATTGAATATATGAGAAATATGTTCATGTTTGATAAAAATGATGATGAGGCTAAAGAGGCATTTAGACAACTCATTTATAAATGTCTTGATGCTTGGTCTCAAACTGTTAATGATTTGATTCATGATTTCGTACATTATAAATGAGTTACGTTCACTCCAATAAAAAAATCATTTAGTTTTATTCTTTTTTTTATTTTATAACTTCAATATTATTATAGTAGATAAAATTAAATAACATGATATTATTGATACATTAAATTGTTTTTGAAAAGTATAATTGACCAACTGTTTAATTTTGTATAAAATAATTATCCACAATTTTGTATTCTTTTAAATTATGTATATTTGACTTTTAAGTTATAATACAAGTTCATAGTAAATAAAGATAATTGTATTAAATAAACTTACTGATTATCTTACCATTATCCTTATCAAAATTGATACTATAATAGTATCAAAAAAAACCATTCTTTTCGGTAGTAAAACATTTATTTAAAAGTGCTAATAAATCAAAAATTAAATCTAAAAATTTTTTCTTTTATTATAATGTACTTTAAAATTTTTAAGGTAAAAATTTTCATTTCATCTATAATACTTTTTTTAGGTTGAAAAAGTTTGATATTTTTTAAAACTTTTTCTTTCAATAACTTCTGGTTATTAGATTAAAATATTTATGACTATTTTAACTCCTTGAGTTAAATATAAACGAATTTTATAACATGACATAAGGAGAAAAAATTACATTGAAGGAAAAAAAACTCCTTATTCGAAAAATGAATTTTCATTGAACAGTTCTTCTTTAAAAGATAAAAATTCAATAGAATAGGAAAATTGATTCTCAAAAAGAACTATGAAGTCACACTTATGTTAAGTGTAAACTGTTTAGATGCATATACTTCAATGCCAAATCTTCCAACCACATTTCCAAAAACAACAAGAAATTCTACATCACCTCAAATGTCTTTAGCTAAATCAGGTCAATTACTTCATACTAATAAAGCATTTAGAATTCCTTATAGATTAATAGTTAAGAGTCATGAAAATAGAAATAAAAGTGATGACTCTTCTCAAATATTTATTACACCAAGAAGAAGTTCAACACATACATCAAATGTAGAAATTACTCAACTTACATTACAATTAAGAAAGCTAAATGCACTTCAAAGTAGAATTGATCATAAAGATGTAGATATTAAAATATTGATTTTATTTCAATCAATTATTAGAGGGTATTTAACAAGAAGAGTCTTTGGTATAAAACTAATGACTAAAAGAAAAGCGGCATTAATGGAATTCTTAACTACTGAAGAAAGTTATAGTAATAGAATGAATGAAGTATGTAAAAAGATTTACAAACCATTATTAACTTTAAGTAAAAATAATCGTTTATTAGTTGAAAAAGCATTTTCAGTATATCAAGAAATTAGTGTAAATTCACAATTATTTTGTAATATAATGAATGATGCAATGAAAAATTATACAGTATTTAAGAATGTTTCTTGTCATCTTCTAGAATGTGTTAAATATTTAAGTCCTTATATGATCTATGTTAGTGATAGTGAAAATTCAATAAAAGCAGAGAAAGAATTAGAAAAATTATCAATTACTACTCAAGTTTTATCTATTGTCAATGAAGGTAAATTACAAAATAGAAGATTAAGTGGATTACTACAAGAACCTTCAATGAGAGTTATGCAATATCCAATGCTTATAAAAGAGGCATTAAAATATACTCACCCAAAACACCCTGATTATTCTACATTAAAAGAAGCATATAAAATATATTATTTCTTTACTACTTTAATTAATTCAAGATGTAAACAAAAAGATTTATTAAATGAATGGGGAAATCTAACTGGTCAACCAGAAATTAATATAAAAGGAAGGTATTGTCTTGGAGTCTTTGATTTAATTCCAAATGGAATTGTAAGAAGAAAGTCATATAAAAAGATGCTTGTTTGTAATGATATTATATTTATTGTTGTAGATAATTGTAAAAAAAGTTTCATTGACTTAACTGAACCTCAAACATCATTTACTATTGAACAGTCTTTAAATATTAATAATACAACAATAGTTCAATTAAAATATCCAGACATTCTTGAAATTACTACAAATTCTGAACTTATTTCAAAAAAATTCATGAAAATAGAAGAACGTGATGAAGCAATGAAACAAATTGAAGCTTCTGTATCTGATAAATTTTTTGATCTAACTAACACTAAACAATGGATAACTCTTTTTACTCGTATAAATAAAAAATTTGGAAATCAATTATAATTTAAATTCTATTATCACTTAAAGTAGTAAATATCCAATTATTTTTATTGAGTCTTATTGAAATTAAATAAAAGTACAATTAGTCAAAAACTTGAACAATAACAATATACAAAAATAAACATTCTATTTATTGTCTAAGACTTTAATTTGAAAATATTTCTCTTCAAACTAATTTTGAAAAAAAATTAATCAAGTTAAGTAAATAAAGTGAAATATTCAAAAACCTTTAAAAATACTTTATGACTCATAGAAATAAAATTGAATTAAAAAAATGAAAACAAAAGAATTTATTTTCACTAACACTTTATATTTTCCCTTTTTCTTTGTAAATTTCTTTACTCTTCATTAATTAAATGACAAATTATATTTAAAATAGTTGTTTTAAGTCTAAAATATACTTCATAATATTACTATTTCAAAACTACCAGATAGTATTAAGTTGGTTTTATCATATAGAGTTGAGTTAATCTTCAAAAAAGATATAAATTAAAATAAAAATTAGTTAATTAAGTATTAATAGAATTTTCATCTATTCTTCCTAGCTCAGGGGAGACTAATCCCATCCCTGAGCTTATTATTAAAAAAGAGTAATCTCTTTGTTTAACCTATCATTTAGGTTTTTCTTGCAAAATGAGGAAACCACTTCTTTGCTTTATTTTTCCTATTAAGGTTTTTTCAAACTTCTTCTGCTTATTTCTTCTTTTTAAGCCTTTGTTTGTTTTCTACCTTAATTTTAAGGAATTTCATTTTTCTTATTTTATGAATGGAAGAAGGAATCATTTTATTACTACTATATTACTTTGACTAATCTTCTTTTTAGTCTTACTTTGACTAATCTTCTTTTAGTCACCACACTTCAGTAGATTCTTATATTACATCCATGTAATATTCTACTGTATTCTCTTGCTGCACCCTTTGCAGCATTCCCTAATACATTCCTAATTCAAAGGCACCGTCATAACCAGATAATAACTGGGAGAGTCGAAGAATGAATTTGTACTAGGGTTTATGTGTGGTGTTTCAGACGTGCCACCTTCGATCTTAAAAAGATATAAATTAATATAAATTAAAAAATAATCTCATTTATAAACAATAAATTAATTGTTCAATAAAGAATAATAACTTATTTGCTTTACATAACATTTATTTTAATAACATTTTTATGAAAAAAATGTAATTGAATTAAAATACAATTATGGCTAGATTTCTTCATATCAAAACCTATTTGTAATATTTTTATGTTATTCTTTGCATAGACATTGAAGAACTAACTAACTTTCTTTATGGAGTCGATTATTATTTTCTTCATTTCCAATAATTGTCTTTGTTTTTGTCTGTTCATCGTCCCAATCAATAAAATAGTCTTCTGGATGATAATTTCTCATCACAATATCTATATATTCTTGTCCAAAGTAATTATGCATCTTTCGAGAAATTGGACACACTTGTTCTAATGTTGCCCATTTAATTTTTTCCCCTGTTTGTTTGTGATACAATTTTCCTTGGGCAATAGCCCATGCAACTGCTGTTAATCTATGACTTTCAATATCTTTTCTAATACTTTCATTAATAGACCTGAAAAATCCTTCGAATGCAGGATTAAGGAAGTGGAAATGAGAAGAATTATAATACATATAAGCGTTGTGCCAATGTTCTGGAGTATTAAGAGAGCCATCTCTTCCTCTTTGTTGAATAAAATCCATTAGCATTTCTTCAATTTCATGACCAATTCCAAGTCCTGGGTGAATTTGACCAGGGAGGACCATACATCCTTTCTTAGGTTGAATTCTATAGTCTTGGAGTCTCAACCAATCAATGACTGTTAAATCCAAATCATGTCCACCCAATTTTTTTTTCATAAACCTAGTTCCTTCTTCAAAAGCTTCTTTCATGTAGTCTGGAGTTGATATTTTTTTTGCATTAGACACATTAAATTTACTATTTACACGAAGGAACAATTGACAAATTAAATTATGAGAATCTTTTTTTTCGTTAAAAACATACATCTGGAATATGAGTATAAAACGAAACTTTTTTCTTTTATTTCAAAGAAAATCTTAAATAATTTCATTATTTTTTTTTTTCTTAGAGAAAGAAATATTGAAGTTAATAAAACCTTTCAATACAAAAAGAAAAAAGAATAAACAAACTTTATGTACATAATAATCAGATGTGTCAAAATCAAAAATTAAGTCGTTGAGATTTTTACTTTGAAGAATTTGTTCAATACTATATCCTGCATTTGATCCATTTTTGACTTTGTATTTCATTATTTTATTAATCAACTCATTGTGGTCAAAATAATTTAAGAACTTATTAGAATTCTTGGGAATATTACTAAGACCTAAAATATCTTCATCATCAAAGATAATAATATTATTGTCTATAGAGTCAGCACGTAACATTGTCCCAAATAATAAATTTGATATTTTTTGACATATTTCAGAGAAGAAATTTTGAATTAAAGCCCATAAAAAACATCCATCCCCTTTTTGTTTTTCACTGAAAAGGAAATCTTCTTCAGAATTCATAAGTTGTTTGAATATTTTTTAAGTTTTTAGTTTCTTTTTTGTCAATCACTCTGTTTTTTCTTTTTTTTTTTTTTGTTAAATTCTAAAAAAAATCTTTTAAAGAAATTAATCAACTAATACGAAAATGAGAATTTTATTATTTCTTTCCAACTTTCTTTGCTGGTTGAGCTTTTGCAGCCTCTTCTCTTGCATTTTTCACAGATTCTGCAACTGCTCTAATTAAAGTAATTCCTAAAAATTAAATTAATACTCTAATTCTCTAATATGAATAAATTCATCACCACAAACGATTTTTAAATGATGTAATGTTAACTCCATTTTCATCTTTTAATTGAATACGAACTCTTCCCATAACCCATTGTTGTCGTGAATATCTTTGTTTCTATTATTAAGTATTATATTTTTCTAATTAACTAGAGTGAAATGAAAAGACAGATAACGGTAGAAATACTCTGTCGAAAAGAAAAAAATATAAATCCAAACTTCTAGAACAAAATTAACCTTTAATGTTTCACATGCTTTTTTCAGATCAAACACATTTGGCTGTTTAACTGAAACTTCCTTAGAAACTTTTCTTCCTTGAGCTATAGTTAACTCACTATCAATATAAGCTGGATAAATAACAATCCATCTTGAGGTGTCAACTTTTTGTTGTGTTGCCATTTGCTGTAATAAATATGAAGTAATTTTTATTAGTTCAGTAAATTAAAAAAATTGATAAAGAAAAGAGACTTAAAATGAGCTTTGTTCAGTCTAATCAAGAATCAGTATGTAAATTGAAAAATAAAAACAAGATTTATCTATTATCATTCTCCAACGTAGTTAAAAAGAGTTGATAATTATTAAACAAAGAAAAAACAAAATTTCATCATTAAAAAAGTAAAATAAAAATAGTCTCACAAAAATTCAATTAGAAGAACACTAGTAGTAACTAAATTAACTATTTCATTAATTCCATTACTGAAGCAAATTGGACATCTGTTTCATTACGTAATTTGTAAATACCTTCAACAATTGACAACTCAGTAGCTGTGGTATCCATACCAACAAAACCACACCAATCATTAACAATCATACCAGAACCAAGTAAATCACTTCCACGATTAACTGTTCCAGCAACTAAAGGTACTTGAAGAATTGTACCAATTTCTTCTTGTTCTTGTTGAGTAGTATTTGGTGCAAGCATTGCACCTTTATTAGTGATAACAGAATAAGTCCCAACAAGAGGATTTCCTCCAACGGTATGTCTAAATACTTCAACTCCAAGAACATCAGCAATAATTTCTTCTGTTTCTCGATCAATTTCTGGGTGAACAAGAGCAACATAATCGTTGCATGCAATACAATTTCCTAATGCAGACATTCTTTCTTCAACTCGTTGAACAACAACATCATCTGGTAATGAATTTCTAAGATGTAATAATTCTTGGTCATTACATGTATTTGGTAATAATAATCCTTTTCTATTACCAACAGCTAATCTTCCAATAATTCTCAATCCACCTATGGTTGCTTCTACACAAGGAATTTTTGGTGAGACTTCTTGTTCAATAATTTTGTAACTTGATGAACCTCCTGGAGCAGTAATACAATATTTATTTGTGAGTTTAGTAAATACTCCAATATCAGTACTATTTTCATATTCAGCTCTTAATGCCATTTGATCTTTTTTAACTGAAAACTTTTTAGTCCTTTTTTTCGTTACGATAGATTCCTTTATGAACCCTTCAGGGTTTTTTTTCTTTTTTAATTTTACTTTTAATTCATACTTTGAGGCTTGTCTTTGAGTCTTGTCTCCTATTTGTCGAGAAATAACCTCTCAAGAGAAAAAGCATTGACAAGTAATTAGTTATTGACGTGAGAAAAAAAAGATACGACATAATTTAAAAACAAATGATTTAAAATTAATATTGTTTAATTGTAGACTGAGAAGGATTTAAAAGTGAATCTAAATACCACTCTTTACAAACAAACAAAGCAACAAAAACTAAAATAATATTTTGTATGCAATTATGAATAGAAGAAATGAAGAATACATTATTTGAATGAACAAGACATTTTCTACAATGAGTTGTTTCAAACGAACAGACTAAGTCACTTTTAATATATTGGCATTTTTTAGATAATTTCCCTTCTAATTCAAAACATCCACAATTTGGATTTATAAGGTCCAAACAACAAGTATTTTCTTTTTCTATTTCAAAAATACTTTTATTATCCATTTTAATGAAAATGTCTACTTCATTTTTTCCTAAATTCAACGTAGTTAAAGTCCCAATTAAAGAGAAAACTGATAGAAATACAAAAAATAGTCCCCATACTTTTGTTATTGAATATTGATAATTTAAAAGAAGAAGTATTAGTAAAGAAAATACTCCAACAAATAATATTAATAAATCTACTACTAATGATAAGAAAAATGATATTCTTCTATAATAGAATAATGGTTGTTCATTGAAAAAGATTAAAGATTCATAACCATTAATACTTTGTAATATAAATCCATAAATAATAATGTCAAGAACCTATAATCAATTATTATTCATAAATAAAAAAAAACATAATAAAATGACAAACAACTACAAATAGTATTTTTATCATCCACTGTTTTATTCCTAAATTGAAAATGTTAATCATTACTTCTTACAATTTGTTTTTTAGTTTTTAGTTTAAAATAATGAGTGGAAATAAAAGTTGATAGTTTAAATCCTTTTCTTTTTTATTGTTTAGAATGTAAAAAGAATAATAACGATTGAAGGTATAAAGTAATATATTAAAGTATATAACTTAACGTAAGGGGATGTGAACAATACCTAAAAACCTAATCTTCTTTTTTACATTTTTTAATTAACTTTATTCAATTAAATGTCCTAAATTCAAAAAATGAACTTAAAAATATAAATCATAAATGGAAATTGAAGAAGTAGAAGTAGAAACTGTTACTTCTATAGATCAGTATGAATGCCAAAATACTGTTGAAAAAGAAAAGGCATATACAAGATATATTATAAGACATAATTTTTTGACTTATTCATTTAATCCAGAGATACATATTAAATGGTTAACTTTATCTATTCATAAACCCCTTCCATCAGGGTTTATGTCATTAGACTCATCAACTCCATGGATATTATATTGGACTCTTAATCCATTAAGGCTATTTGGATATAATGTAGATAAATATTTGAATGAATATACTGAGGCTTTAAGATTAATAACACTTCCAGATGGTGTAATACGAGGGTCACAACAAAGTATTCCAATTGTTGCAGGTTGTTATTCTGGAGTATGTACAATGATAGATATTGGAACAGTGAATGCTTACCAATTAATCAATAGACAAAACACATATAATTTTCTTATATCTAAAAAGTTTCCTGATGGTTCTTTTGAAATGAATTGTGACTCTGGAGATATTGATACAAGGGCTTGTTATTGTGCAATATCTACTGCGTATGTATTAAATATTCTTGACGATAATTTAAAACAAGGGGTTGCTGAATGGTTATTAAAATGTCAAACGTATGAGGGAGGGTTTTCTGGATGTCCAGGAGGTGAAGCACATGGAGGATATTCATACTGTGCTGTTGCTGCATTAGCTTTATTAGGTAGAATAGATGAAATAGATATTAACAAATTATTAAGATGGTTAATCCAAAGACAAAAACCAATTGAAGGTGGGTTTGATGGAAGAATTAACAAATTAGTTGATGCTTGTTATACATTTTGGCAAGCATCTATTTTTGGTATTCTGAAAAAGTATTCTAAAACATTCCAAGCATCTCCTGTTTTCCCAAACGTTGATAAACTTCTTGATTACATTATTTTAGCTTCTCAAAATAAAGACGGTGGATATAGAGATAAGCCTTCTAAAAAACCTGATTTGTACCATACTAACTACGCTTTATCTGGAATTTCTTCAATATTACATGCTTCTGACCATCAAATGAAAAATACAATTCGTCCAATTGAACCTGCTATGGGGGTTGACCAATTTTATTTTGATAAAGCTTGTGAGTATTTCCGTTCGCTCTAATCTATTTTTTTTTATTTAAAAGAATCATCTTGTTAAATTCTTTTATTCAATTCAATACATCTCAGATATTCAATACATTTATACCTGATGAATATCTTCCATCTATTTATCATCCCTCTTACTATTTCTATGATAACACTATACTTCAAACTAAAAGGAAGAATAAGAAAGAAAATTTTTCCAAACCAAATAATGAATAAAGAAAGAATCAAAGAAAGTAGATAATAAAAATAAACATTATAAAAATCAAATGAAATTTTATCTTTTTTCTACTAAATTTAATGAATTATTTTTTTTTAGGAAAGAATAATAAATATCAAAAGAAATACTGAATGAGTATTTTCATTATTAATATGAAGTTAATTTTATTTCCATTTATGACAAGTAGCATCAAATGCATTAATCCATACTTGAGGTTCTCCAAGACAATCTTCTAATTGATAATCTCTGCCAGGTACTCTAATAATAAATTGTGATCCACTTTTAATGAAATAAGAAGTATCTTTAGTAAGAGGAATTTCACCTTTAATATTAGGAGTTTTAGAAACACAATAAAAGAGACGAGGAAGGTCAGTATAAATTAAGTCACGTTTAGTATTACTAATTCCTTTACGTTTATATACTGTACGATATAAAATAACTTTTTCACCTTCTTTTAATAATCCGGGATATATAAAATCTTCAATTTTAGGAATAGCCATTCCTGCTTCAAATGGTGGTGGTGTTTGTTGAAGAAGAGAGTCAAATTGAATACCTGTAAAGAAAGGATGAGATAATAATTCATCTGTTGATTTTACACCAATTCTATTATTCATATCAAGTACCATTAATTTTTGACAAAGATCTTTTGCATTAACTGGCATATTATGAGGATAAGATGGTGCACATGCATTAATAGCATCAAATGTTAATTTATCACTCTTTCCTCTAAATGGAAATTCTCCAGTAAGGAATTGGAATAACATACATC